AACATTCCCACAGTGGATGCTTTAGAAAAAGACTGTTCTTGCAGCTTGTAGAAAGTGGTACGAGAGTCACACCATGGAAGAGATTGGTGAACCTCACCACATAATGTTTCCATAGTGGCTACATTGCAGCCAACCTTCTATATGGAGATGGCACCATTTTTGTGTTATATTATTTGTGGTGTATCACTGGGGAGTAAAATGGGGTTGTTGTTTTTTTTTAATGCAAAAAATGTACCAGACAAACAAACAAAAGCAGACTTAATAAAAGCTTATAATTGTTCATTCCCATGTCTCAAAGCATGATGGGTGCTGGACCTATATTTGTATAGACCCCAAGCACTTGATGTGGGATCTGGTTTATATCACACTGGCCACCTTCATTTCCCAGAATATTTCCTAGCACCCATTTTAGGCTGGGTCAACCTGAGAGCCTATAAACATTGTAGACTTCGCCTCAGTGGAAATTCTAACTCATCAGCTCAGAGGTGGCTGGCAAACATGAAAGCTAGGAAATAATAGCTAGGACGCACTAGCTAGGAAAGTTAAATTTGATAGCTAGGATAGCTAAGACATGATAGCTAGGAAATAATAGCTAAAACATGATAGCTAGGATGTGATGGCTAGGATAGCTAGGAAATATTAGCTAAAACATGATAGCTAGGATGTGATGGCTAGGATAGCTAGGAAATATTAGCTAAAACATGATAGCTAGGATGTGATGGCTAGGATAGCTAGGAAATAATAGCTAAAACATGATAGCTAGGATGTGATGGCTAGGATAGCTAGGAAATATTAGCTAAAACATGATAGCTAGGATGTGATGGCTATGATAGCTAAGACATGATAGCTAGGAAATAGCTAACACACACTAGCTAGGAAAGCTAAGATAGGATAGCTAGAACGATTTAATTAATCTATCACGGCTGAGACAGTAACTATGTGTTGGGAGCCCTCAGGTAAAATGGTCATGCCATTTCCCATGGTCTTTCAAGGTTTTTTTGTGGAGGCTTCCATCCCCTCCAGTTCACAAATGCAGTCTGTTTTTATGAATCTCTGGAGGGGTTCATGTTGGGGCTGTGGAGCTTGTGCTTGTTGTGAAGTTCTTGGCATACAGACGGAACGAATGAACCAACTTTATTTCCATGGGATCGTAAATTGAGCCGGCAGGTCCATCTTACATTCTGTCTTTCCAGACTCATCTTTTGTACCGCGATTTATTTTATGAATAAAGCCTGTTATGTTCATATGGCCGTTTAAATAATATGAATATCAAGTGTTAAAAGCATGGATGATGAATGCCGGCATTCAAATATTATACATACATATAATAGCCACATGCATGCATACATACATACATTCATACATACATACATACATACATACATACATACATACATACATACATACATACATACATACATACATACATACATACATACATACATACATACATACATACATACATACATACATACATACATACATACACACATACATACACACATACATACACACATACATACATACACACATACATACACACATACATACATACATACATACATACATACATACATACATACATACATACAGACAGACAGACAGACACAGACATATATACATACATCCATACAGACACACACTCATATATACCTACACATAGACACATGCAGACATACAAAAAAGTATGAGAGACTGAGCCATATAAGATCAATCCTAGTGCAGTGATGTTCATCTTATGACCTGTATAAAAAAAAAACATCTTCTATAATGTGTTGTTTGGTAAAGAAATGTTGTTTGTGCCTTGTTATTGTACTTCTACTTACTATGCAAGTCAGTGTAATAATATTGCTTTTTGTAAACATTTGTTACATACAGCTTAATTATGGTTTTATTTTTGCAAGCAGAAACTACTGTTGCCAAAGTGATGACTATTCTTTACCCTAGCACTGTTTGCCATTGCTGTTTTTGTACATTTTATATCTGTATATTTTATCTTGGGTTTAATCTTCTGTGAGCAGCCTGAATGTTGATGATTTGAGAGTTCTAATACAGAGAACAACAACTGGAAATTGCCTGGGCTTTGAGTCATTTTTTTTTAATGGCTGCATACTGTTACTTGTTTCCATGTTAAATGTTTAAATAAAAAAAAAAAAAATTTTTAAACAAAAGCAAAGGACCTTTTTCCACGCCTTCTGGTAGGTTGGGCATATAGGGCTAGACCTATATTTTATAGACTAATCGGCACTAGATGGGGGATGTGGTCAACATCACGGCGGCCACTTTTACTTCCCGGGACTGTACCTGGCACCCAAGGTCGACAAGGGAGCTAAGGTCAATTTTTGTTTGTTTTAAAGTCTGGCTCAGTGAGGACCCGAACCCAGGACCTTCTAATCTGCAGGCGAGTGTCTAGCCGCTACACCACGGTGACTAGATGTATTTGTTACTTATTAAATAATGTAATATTGTTGAACTGTTCACAGTTATGCAGGTAGTAGGCAGCCGTCAGTCCCTGGGGACCATGGAGCTGTGGCACATTGTCCACATAAAAACACTGATAGTGCATCATTCCTAGGCTGGGTTTTTTTCCTCCGACATCTTCTTTCTGTAGCTTGCTGCTTCTCTTAATGATGACCTCTTGCAAACTGTGACATTCCATCTCTCACTCTCTGCCTCCAAAGAAGTCAGTCTGCAGCTGATCTCTCCCAGGTGTCTCAGTGTTGATATCTTTCAGAGATTCCTAATTAATACCATACCCCAGATGACGTCACAGGACAGTCCAACATTTTAGAGGGTGGTAAGACCGGGTTTCCTGGCTTTCTGATACTTTTAACGACCCCAAAACATCTAGAACTGGCCCTAACTCCAAACCAAATAAGTCCCAGGAGAGAGAGCCTAAGTCCCACGACTGCATGCAGTCTAGATCCCGAGACTGCATGAAGCCTATCTACCACCTCTTGAAATATTAGACTATCCCGTGACCTGCGAATTTTCTCTGTTTGGGGTAGGATATTAATAAAGCACCCTTTCAGATCATGTTTGCATTATGTCCTTCAAGTGTAGCCTTGGCCTCCCTCCAGGTCTTTCCCCATTATCAGTCACCACACAGAAGATCATTTGGACCGTCCTTTATGTGAGGGACATGGCCCAGCTAAGTAGTCAGTAGTCAATTGACTATCATGTTACATACTAGTTACTAAGAGAAAAGGCTGGCCAAGTGGTTAGAATACAGGCCTGTCATGCAAGAGACTCAGGTTCGGTCCTTGGTGAGGGATGGAGATTTGTGTCTGTGGAAATCAAAATCCTCACCTGCACAGTTGATGGTAAATGCACTAGCCGTGTGTGGCCTTAACGTTAAAAAAATTTGTATTTTCTAAAGAATTAAATATTTCATTAATTCTTTTAGTCCCATGGGTTTAGCATCAAAGGCCCAAAGGGTGGTAAAGAGAGAGTTGTAAAAATTGGTGCATCTCAGATTTTTTGGGCTCTGTGTAGGAACCTATGAAAGTTTGATGTATTCCTTGTTATAATTTTCTGAAACTCTAAAAACTAGAGGAAGAGACAAAGAAGAAGCAGAAGAAATGTGGGATCTTGTTCAGTTTTCAGTGAAATCCAGGGGGTTGAAACCTCTGACCACCGAGCAGACAAGTAAGCCTGCTAGCCATTACAGCCCCTAAGTCACTAAAAGGATAAATTTCCGGTACTGAGTCTCTTCTTTTTTTTTTTTTTTTTTCTGTCCTGCCTGCTGCAGACCTAGAACATTAAAGGATTATTTGTTCTCTTCTGTGCCTGATCTTAAACAGGCGGTTGGTGTATTATGTCATGGTTTACAGCTAGGCTGCGATATCTGCACCTTTCAGATAATCCTAAATTTGTCAGCTTTTACAAGATGCTTATTAAGGGGCAGTGGGTTAATTCTCCTGTACCCAAACTGGGGCATCATGGATGATGAAACAGTCATAAACTTCTCAGCAGCAGGGCAAGGTCATCAGATGTGGGACATGTAACTCAAGTTTGACTTTTTATTGCTGGTAGTGACTTAAAGACAGAAACTTCGTCACTGCTTCTTCTTACAATCTAGGCCATGTGGGGGTTGGTTGTCACGTCTACGCATTGCCTCCTGTCTCATATACTATAAATCCTTTCCGATAGACATATTCTTCCATGCCAGACTGCCACTCTGTCCAGAATCTCTCTTGGTCTTCCTCTGCCTCTCTTCCCCTTCAACTTTCCCATTGTTAGAAGTGACTTTGGTTTTCCCCTTCTTATGATTTGCTTAATGAATGTAGACTCTGAATTTGAGGCAGGTCAAGCTGGACTCCTAAGCCTAGTGACGATCCTCCTCCTCCTCCTCCTCCTCTTCTATTCATCTTGTTCTCCCTGCATGTCTTCAGAAGAGGTCGTCACAGGCCTCAAAGTCTGTTGTGCGACCCATGATTTCTACTGATCCACACATGTTAGGTTTCCATTGAAATGCCACCCGGCGAAACCTGGGATTTCACTACGGCATATAGAGAGGATCCAAACCTGTGACCACTGGGCAAGCATGTTAGCCACTGTCCTACTACCACTATGACGGCCACCATGAAGCACATATAGTTCTGAAGTGCTCTCATTAAAGTATTTGCAGTTTTCTAGCACATACTTATGTAACTCAACCACGGTTCCAACTTCACCACAAATGGGTCACCCTATGATAGAACGTACGTCAAGTCAAGTCAAAGACACTTTTCACACCAATGTTGCTTCAGACATATGATGCTATCCTCATATTTTTATAGACAAATCATCATTTAAAGGCTGATATGGTCAAAAAATCAGGCTAACCACTTTTACTTCCCAGGAGTTTACCTGGCCTCTAGGTTTACTATAATATCCCTTTTACTGTACTAAAGTGCGTATACAATACCCAAGTATATGCATTTAAAACAAATATACAGTTAGAATGAACATATTGATGTGTTACATATTACACTGGCATATGTGTAAAGAATAATATCTCAGTCCTCTGGGACAGCAAATGTTAACTTTCGTCTCTCATGTTTCTTTGACTTGGTCTTCGTTTTCTCAGTTACCGGATGTCTATTTGTGGGGCTGCCAGAGTTCTGAACCATGTCAAGGATATCTTCTCTTTCTTTGACAAATTCCTGGGGGGAAAAAGATAATTGAAATATATTTAAGAAATGACTTCTCTTCTACTGACATATTCTGGGAAAACAATAAAAAATGTATCCAGAAATACTTTGTTTTTCCCTAAAATTTATGGGATTATATACATAATTTTTTTTTTTAATACCCCTTCTGTTATTGACATATATCCTAGAATATCGCAAAATACCCCCCCCCCCCCTTTCCAGCTTTCCCCCCTCTATAGTTCATCTTACCACCTAGACAAAAGCGATATTTCAGTTGCTGCTATAAAATCTTGCAATGGTGATCAAACCAGCTCCTACTCCTTAAACAAAATATTCGGCTGTATTAGTGTGCATATTTTCCATTCAGTGGGCTGAGCTTTCTGGTCACATTTTACTATCAACTCCAATGTCCAGCAATGATCAGGCTGAAGGGATATCGTATCATCAGTCCTTATTTGCCCTGTTCAAGCACTCTCACAGTCAACTGCTTCCACAAAACATCACTCAACACACGCACTAGACCAATGCTCTCCGACCTTTTTCATGTGCTTCTTGTTTCTCTTTTCAGTATGAATGAGGGAAAGAATTTGCCCATCTATAGTAAACTTACCTGAATACGGCTGAGCTTCTGTTGCCAGTCAGCCTTGTTGGGAGATTGGTCCATGGATCTTTGACATTTGTCATAAATGTTGTCCAAAGCCATAAAAATGACACCAACTTCAGTTCTCTGTCAAAGAAAAGAAGTACATCTGTATGGTGTTGATAAATTTTGAGATGATTTCAGAACGAAGACAACATGGCTAAACGATATCAATGCCAGATAAAACACTTACACACATAAGTGCACATATACACACACAGAGATAAACAGATATATCTTCTTCTCTTCTTTCTCTTTTATCATTTCAGTTGTCTACAGTCAGCAACTGTAGCTTAGGTGTTGCGGACGCGCTTCATATTGCCGGGGTGCCGTTCGATCCCAGCTGCGGGCCTTGCGTTAGTTTTGACAGTGGTATCAGAAAGCGGACCATCCAGAAAGCAATGGCAAACTACTGGACGTGAATTTTCCTACCAGAGTGCTGTGATGTCGGTTCTTGAATCAAATCAAATCAAAGTATTTCATTTTAGGACACATGATAGATACAACAGCCAGAAGGTGCTGGGGTTGGTTCTGCAGCATCCTGTAAAGGATACGCAACTAACAGTAACTGGCTGACAAACAGTATCATGCGTCCTAAAATGAAATACTTTGATTTGATTTGATTTGATTCAAGAACTGACATCACAGCACTTGGGGCATTCCCATAAGCGCTCCGTCCCCATCTTCAGCAGCCAGTGAAATACTTTGGCCACACCAAATGCTAAAATCTCTTTGTGGGTTCAAGGCCGCCATTTTAGCGGACAAAATCAATGACCTGCCTCTCTTTAACGGACATGTCATAAAAGGCAACGAAGTAGAAACTTGCTAAAATCTGATGTATTAGGCCAAAAGGTGCATGCAGATACTGCAGCCTAGCTGTAAACCATAACCACCCTCAAACAGGGGGTAAAAAAAAGGGACTGGGGGTCTCTAGCAGGTCAGGATGTGAGTGACTGGGAGTCTCTAGCAGGTCAGGATGTGAGGGACTGGGAGTCTCTAGCAGGTCAGAATGTGAGGGACTGGAAGTCTCTAGCAGGTCAGGATGTGAGTGACTAGGAGTCTCTAGCAGGCCAGGATGTGAGTGATGGTGAGTGACTGGAAGTCTCTAGCAGGTCAGGATGTGAGTGACTGGAAGTCTCTAGCAGGTCAGGATGTGAGTGACTGGAAGTCTCTAGCAGGTCAGGATGTGAGTGACTGGGAGTCTCTAGCAGGTCAGGATGTGTGTGACTGGGAGTCTCTAGCAGTTCAGGATGTGTGTGACTGGGAGTCTCTAGCAGGTCAGGATGTGAGCGACTGGAAGTCTCTAGCAGGTAAGGATGTGAGTGATGGTGAGGGACTGGGAGTCTCTAGCAGGTCAGGATGTGAGTGACTGGAAGTCTCTAGCAGGTCAGGATGTGAGTGATGGTGAGGGACTGGGAGTCTCTAGCAGGTCAGGATGTGAGGGACTGGAAGTCTCTAGCAGGTCAGGATGTGAGTGACTGGGAGTCTCTAGCAGGTCAGGATGTGAGTGATGGTGAGGGACTGGGAGTCTCTAGCAGGTCAGGATGTGAGTGATGGTGAGGGACTGGGAGTCTCTAGCAGGTCAGGATGTGAGTGATGGTGAGGGACTGGGAGTCTCTAGCAGGTCAGGATGTGAGTGATGGTGAGGGACTGGGAGTCTCTAGCAGGTCAGGATGTGAGTGACTGGGAGTCTCTAGCAGGTCAGGATGTGAGTGACTGGGAGTCTCTAGCAGGTCAGGATGTGAGTGACTGGGAGTCTCTAGCAGGTCAGGATGTGAGTGACTGGAAGTCTCTAGCAGGTCAGGATGTGAGTGACTGGGAGTCTCTAGCAGGTCAGGATGTGAGTGACTGGAAGTCTCTAGCAGGTCAGGATGTGAGTGACTGGGAGTCTCTAGCAGGTCAGGATGTGAGTGATGGTGAGTGACTGGGAGTCTCTAGCAGGTCAGGATGTGAGTGATGGTGAGTGACTGGGAGTCTCTAGCAGGTCAGGATGTGAGTGACTGGGAGTCTCTAGCAGGTCAGGATGTGAGTGATGGTGAGTGACTGGAAGTCTCTAGCAGGTCAGGATGTGAGTGATGGTGAGTGACTGGGAGTCTCTAGCAGGTCAGGATGTGAGTGACTGGGAGTCTCTAGCAGGTCAGGATGTGAGTGATGGTGAGTGACTTGGAGTCTCTATCAGGTCAGGATGTGAGGGACTGGGAGTCTCTAGCATGTCAGGATGTGAGTGACTGGAAGTCTCTAGCAGGTCAGGATGTGAGTGATGGTGAGGGACTGGGAGTCTCTAGCAGGTCAGGATGTGAGTGACTGGGAGTCTCTAGCAGGTCAGGATGTGAGTGATGGTGAGTGACTGGGAGTCTCTAGCAGGTCAGGATGTGAGTGACTGGGAGTCTCTAGCAGGTCAGGATGTGAGTGATGGTGAGTGACTTGGAGTCTCTAGCAGGTCAGGATGTGAGGGACTGGGAGTCTCTAGCATGTCAGGATGTGAGTGACTGGAAGTCTCTAGCAGGTCAGGATGTGAGGGACTGGGAGTCTCTAGCAGGTCAGGATGTGAGTGATGGTGAGGGACTGGGAGTCTCTAGCAGGTCAGGATGTGAGTGATGGTGAGGGACTGGGAGTCTCTAGCAGGTCAGGATGTGAGTGATGGTGTGTGACTGGGAGTCTCTAGCAGGTCAGGATGTGAGTGATGGTGAGGGACTGGGAGTCTCTAGCAGGTCAGGATGTGAGGGACTGGGAGTCTCTAGCAGGTCAGGATGTGAGGGACTGGGAGTCTCTAGCAGGTCAGGATGTGAGTGATGGTGAGGGACTGGGAGTCTCTAGCAGGTCAGGATGTGAGTGACTGGGAGTCTCTAGCAGGTCAGGATGTGAGTGACTGGGAGTCTCTAGCAGGTCAGGATGTGAGTGACTGGGAGTCTCTAGCAGGTCAGGATGTGAGTGACTGGGAGTCTCTAGCAGGTCAGGATGTGAGTGACTGGGAGTCTCTAGCAGGTCAGGATGTGAGTGACTGGGAGTCTCTAGCAGGTCAGGATGTGAGTGACTGGGAGTCTCTAGCAGGTCAGGATGTGAGTGACTGGGAGTCTCTAGCAGGTCAGGATGTGAGTGATGGTGAGTGACTGGGAGTCTCTAGCAGGTCAGGATGTGAGTGATGGTGAGTGACTGGGAGTCTCTAGCAGGTCAGGATGTGAGGGATGGTGAGGGACTGGGAGTCTCTAGCAGGTCAGGATGTGAGTGATGGTGAGGGACTGGGAGTCTCTAGCAGGTCAGGATGTGAGTGATGGTGAGGGACTGGGAGTCTCTAGCAGGTCAGGATGTGAGTGATGGTGAGTGACTGGGAGTCTCTAGCAGGTCAGGATGTGAGTGATGGTGAGTGACTGGGAGTCTCTAGCAGGTCAGGATGTGAGGGATGGTGAGGGACTGGGAGTCTCTAGCAGGTCAGGATGTGAGGGACTGGAAGTCTCTAGCAGGTCAGGATGTGAGGGACTGGAAGTCTCTAGCAGGTCAGGATGTGAGGGACTGGAAGTCTCTAGCAGGTCAGGATGTGAGGGACTGGAAGTCTCTAGCAGGTCAGGATGTGAGTGACTGGGAGTCTCTAGCAGGTCAGGATGTGAGGGACTGGGAGTCTCTAGCAGGTCAGGATGTGAGGGATGGTGAGTGACTGGGAGTCTCTATCAGGTCAGGATGTGAGGGATGGTGAGTGACTGGGAGTCTCTAGCAGGTCAGGATGTGAGGGATGGTGAGGGACTGGGAGTCTCTAGCAGGTCAGGATGTGAGTGACACTGCAAAGGACTTTCTTTATGATGATGATGAAGTATTTTCCTACATAACATCTTTTCTTGTGATGCTAACCTTTGCTCGTTTTTCCCCCTTGCTGATGACAAAATTCTGTTCTTGCTGTTCATTCTGATCTACAATTTGCTCTAGTTTCTCTTGAAAATGTAGGATCTGGGAGGTGCTTGCCAGGCGGCTCTTCTGGTGGTCTTGATTCATCATTTCTAGAACTATTTTGCACTCTTCTAACTGAAGAAACAAAACAATGCATTCAGATCCAGCTAGTTATTTCTACAGCACTTTCAACTCCAATGTCCAGCCAGCAATATTCAAGCTTAAAGGATATCACATAATCAGTCTATATTTGCCCTGTTCAAGCACTCTCGCAGTCAAATGCTTCCACAAAACATCGCTCAGCACACGCACTAGACCAGTGATTTCCAACCCTTTTCAGATCTTTTTTTTAATTGAAAATTAAAACTGTTTGTACCTTTTCAAAAAATACTTGGTACTATTCCCCCAAGAAACGTTGGCAGCTGCACAGCTCTAAACCACACACAGCCATTCAAACGTCCTTTCTCCAAGCACCATAAAACAAGAATGACTTCTCTCAACTTCTAACCCTCTCATAATCTCTCCTAACTGACGTGAACATTGAAACACAGCTCATCCATCTCGAGTTTCATTTCAGTCTACACCCCAATACATGCAGCTCCTAAACTAATGCATTTCCTGGTGACAGTTTATTCTGCCTCGTGATAATCTTTGCATGCTCCCTCCTAAACTAATGCATTTCCTAGTGACAGTTTATTCTGCCTGGCAGTAATCTTTGCATGCTCCTTCTTTTGTACATAACTTGTGATCAGTAATCTGTGTCTCAGTGCCGGGGAGAAAGTTCCTCCAATCTGTAGTACAAAGCCTAGACAGTACTGAAGATACCATATGTTGCTCATGCAGCATATTCCCTCTCTTGGCCTACCTTATTAACTGTAAAGAAAAGGTAACACCAATACATTTGGCATGCTGCAGAAGCTGCAGGATAAATAGAGCAGTGCTCTGTGTATCCACCTTTGGGAGCTTCCCTCCTAGACCAACTGCCAGCCAAGGAAAATGTTCAGGTTGCATTTCCTCTTCCTAGGATAAGACTAGTATCCTACCCAATGTGCTCGTCTGCCCAAAAAAGTTTGCACAATTTGGGATTGTCAGGTTTGGTATGTGCCACTCAAGATTCAGTGTTAACAGAGAACAGGTTGTACTGATTCTATTATACTTTAGCTCAATCATATCTGACCAAGTTATCAGAGAACAGGTAGTACTGATACTGTCATATGGTAGCTTAATCATATCTGAACAAGTTAACAGAGAACAGGTAGTACTGATACTGTCATATGATAGCTTAATCATATCTGAACAAGTTAACAGAGAACAGGTAGTACTGATACTGTCATATGGTAGCTCAATCATATCTGAACAAGTTAACAGAGAACAGGTAGTACTGATACTGTCATATGGTAGCTCAATCATATCTGACCAAGTTAACAGAGAACAGGTAGTACTGATACTGTCATATGGTAGCTGAATCATATTTGACCAAGTTAACAGAGAACAGGTAGTACTGATACTGTCATATGGTAGCTCAATCATATCTGACCAAGTTAACAGAGAACAGGTAGTACTGATACTGTCTTATGGTAGCTTAATCATATTTGACCAAGTTAACAGAGAACAGGTAGTACTGATTCTATTATACTTTATCTCAGTCATATCTGAACAAGTTAACAGAGAACAGGTAGTACTGATTCTATTATACTTTAGCTCAGTCATATCTGAACAAGTTAACAGAGAACAAGGAGTACTGACTACATGGTAGCTCAGCCATATCTGACCAAGTTAACAGAGAACAGGTAGTACTGATACTGTTATAAGGTAGCTCAATCATATCTGAACAAGTTAACAGAGAACAGGTAGTACTGATTCTATTATACTTTAGCTCAATCATATCTGAACAAGTTAGCAGAGAACAGGTAGTACTGATACTGTTATAAGGTAGCTCAATCATATCTGACCAAGTTAACAGAGAACAGGTAGTACTGATACTGTTATAAGGTAGCTCAATCATATCTGACCAAGTTAACAGAGAACAGGTAGTACTGCCTACTTGGTCAGGTATGACTGAGCTACCATATGACAGTAGTCAGAACTACCTGTTCTGGGTATTTTTCTATGTTTAAGGTCATGGCCACCTCGAAAGAGCAAAGATGGAGGATGCAGTTTCCAGAAAACGAGGCAGAGGTAGACAACCGTCAAGGTGGACAGAGGACACTGAAGATGCTTTGGCCATGGAAGTACACAGAGCTAGAGAATTGGCTAAAGCAAGAGACTTTCAACTTAGCTGTGATGAGAGTGAAGTTCAGTGTAGGACCTGCTGAAGGATGATGATAGTACAAAACAGGATGTTATAGAGAGTCTTAATGTTAACAAAACCTGGATTCTTCTTCTTCTTCTTCTTCTTCTTCTTCTTCTTCTTCTTTTGTCTTGTTTGTATTTCAACATCAGATTTTGAAGAGGCACTGTGTGCGAGCCTTGGGATGTGCTGCACAGATGCTGGTATTTGCATCTATCCATCGCTTGCGTGGTCAACCTCTGGATCTGCTTCCTTTATGCCTACGTGACAGGGTTCGGTGTGATGCCGTATCTGCTGGTAGTAATGACATAATTCAAAACCATGTGATCTGCTGTCTCTTGATGTAGATTAGTTCTGGTTCTTTTCCAGTTTCTTTCCTGCTTTCCTGATTTCTGACTCTGTCTCTTCTAGTTACATACAGGCTACATTGTAGACATTTCATTAAAGCCTGGATTGAAAGATTTAAATCATGTGAGCCTTTGGGGCAACATTCTGGGGTGATAAATGACAGGCCGACTGCCCCCCCCCCCTCCCCTTTTCCCCAACAAGCAACTAATTAGGGTGTTCCATTTAGGTCTAGTACATTATTCATTCAGTAGCATGTCCCTCGCGGAACCTCGCTGCCATAACAACCCTCCGGAAAACCTTCCTATCATGAGCAAGATGTCCTGCGTCTGATACACCCATCTGGAGATCATCTGCCACATCCTGCACCCATCTTCTCCTTGGCCTTCCTCTTCCTCTCTTCCCAGGCATATACCCCTCCATTATTGTTCTCTCTAGACTTCCATGACGTTTCAAGTGACCAAAATATTTTAATTTTCTTTGTTTTATTGTCTTTACTAGCCAACCCTCTTCAATATTCAGCTCTTGAAGTATGGATGCATTTGTTCTTTTCTTTACCCAAGATATTCTTAGAACCTGTCTGTAACATTTATATTCAAATGCATTTATGCGCTGTTCCGCTTGTTTATAGTACATCAGACTGATAAAACAAATCAAGTGTGTGCAAGCTACATTTAACTTCTTCTTCCTTGCATTCACCAGCTGTAAACTCCAGCTGAAAGTTCTGGTTGTTCGTCCACTTCTGGTATTTAGTCTTGTTCCAGAACTTGAGTTTTGTGTGCACATACATTTTACAGATCTGGCCTAATTTGCAGACTGTTGGTTATTCACCTCTCTGGCATATGCTCTCTGACTTAGAAGGAAACACCATTAATTAGTCCCTCTTACAAAATGTGTGCTAGGGAATCTTTTCTTTCCCCCCCCCCCCCCCCCAAGGGGTCATGGAACCCATATTGTGAGACACTTTACCAAAAAGGCTTTTAAAAGACAGACATACACACAGACAAGTACACACATACACAGGAATGCATAACCTACCTCATCAGCCATTGCCTCCAGATTATTGACCAAGTGTTTGTTGGACTCACTTAATGTTTTGTACCGCATCATCAAACTTTTTATCTTGTCTTCCGTGGCCGGTAAGTAATCTTCAGATTGTGTAAAATTGTCTAATCTCAGTTTTGGTTGTTAAGCGATCTTGAAATGTTACATATAACATACAACATTTAAAAACATATAGTATTCCATGGGAGACTTTTTCCTTTAAAGAAAGTTGCCTGAGTGACCAAGAAATTATTATTAGATTAGAGCTAAAAATATGCATCGAGGGAAAAAAAGGTTTTAGATTACCGTATTCCACTAGAAAAATCTGGGTAGTACCACATTCCACTAGAAAAATCTGGGTACTGCATCAAAAAATCTAGCCAGTTTTGGTATTTTGGAGTTTGAGAAGTAAACAGGACAGCAGCCTGGAGTTTAAGAAGTAAACAGTACAGCAGCCTGGAGTTTAAAAAGTAAGCAGTACAGCAGCCTGGATTTTAAGAAGTAAACAGTACAGCAGCTTGGAGTTTGAGAAGCAAACAGTACAGCAGCCTGAAGTTTGAGAAGTAAACAGTACAGCAGCCTGGAGTTTAAGAAGAAAGCAGTACAGCAGCCTGGAGTTTGAGAAGTAAACAGTACAGCAGCCTGGAGTTTAAGAAGTAAACAGTACAGCAGCCTGGAGTTTGAGAAGTAAGCAGTACAGCAGCCTGGAGTTTGAGAAGTAAGCAGTACAGCAGCCTGGAGTTTAAGAAGTAAACAGTACAGCAGCCTGGAGTTTGAGAAGTAAGCAGTACAGCAGCCTCCAGTTTAAGATGTAAGCAGTACAACAGCCTGGAGTTTGAGAAGTAAGCAGGACGGTAGCCTGAAGTTTGAGAAGTAAGCAGTACAGCAGCTTGGAGTTTAAGAAGCAGTACAGCAGCCTGGAGTTTGAGAAGTATGCAGGAGGGTAGCCTGGAGTTTAAGAAGTAAGCAGTACAACAGCCTGGAGTTTGAGAAGTAAGCAGTACAGCAGCCTGGAGTTTGAGAAGTAAGCAGGACGGTAGCCTGGAGTTTGAGAAGTAAGCAGGACGGTAGCCTGGAGTTTGAGAAGTAAGCAGGACGGTAGCCTGCTGTTTAACTCTTTCAGTCCTAAGGAACATATCATAAATCCCTAGGTTCCTACTTAGAAACCCAATGAACGCAAGATGCGCAGATTTTATGTCTTACTTTACAACCCTTTGGCCTTTTATTCTAAATCCCCTGGGACTGAAAGAGTTAAGAAAGAAAGAAAGTAGGAAATATGTTTTCATTGTTTTTTTTTATTAAATTATTTAAAAACTACTGGAAGGCCTACCTTCTGGCATAGCATCAACTACATTTTGAAGGTATTCTTCGTAAACTTTGTATTTTCTTAGCTTGGTCTGTAGAGCTTGATGCCTGAAAAGAAAGTAAAACTGTTAAGCCTTTTTTTTTTCAAATGACCTGCACTTTCATGCTGACTCAGCTTAAAAAATGGGTGCCCGGAAATTTCCTAGGAAGTAAAAGTAATCATCGTGATTATGTGTGCAGATTAGTGACATAAACTTGGTACTAGCTCACTGGTATACTTCCCACCCAGAATACTTCTTCGCGTTTATCAGCTGTAAACTCCGGAGGAAACTTCTGGTCTTTCCTACACTGCTGAACTTGTTCAAGAACCTGAGTGTTGGGTGCATATTCATTTCACAGATCTGACTTATTTGTATGTAGGCTGTTGGAGCCTTATCTCTCAGGCAGCACTCAGACTTTAAAGACAGGATCCCCATCCCCTTTCCTCCCTTCAGTTAGTTGAAACTCACAACATTCCTGTTAGGGAGGCAGTGGGTCTATTCTTGTGTTTCCCACAATGGAAACCCAGAACCCACAATGGAAACCCATAACCCACAAGGGGATCCAGAATACACACTCAAAGACCCCAATCAACCTCCTGACACAAAAGCAACAGACCACTGTATAAAGATTGTGAACTGCACACAACAGACTGCAGCCAAATCTACAGCAAATTCAAGACTGAGGAACTTTGCCCATTTGCACATGCAATCTATACTAAACATGTGCTGCATACATTCTCTCTCTCTCTCTCTTTGCTGTATATAGATCCCAGGTCAGTATTCTGGTGAAAAGCATGTTTTATGGGGAGAATATTCATCACATCACTGGCAGGGAGAACAAAATGAAGAATAAGATACAGCAAGATGCATAGGATCCTGACCGGTGTACACAAAACCCTTTGTATAGTGATTCATGTTTGATTGCATTTTACAGTTACATTTGTCTCTATGGTGAGGCAGCCAGTCTCATGCCAACCCTCCTCAGTTGCTCCTTATGTCCTGCATGAAACTGTTGCCATTAACCGCTTCCCACATATACTAGTAAAACAGCTTATCTCAAGGCTACTTCTTTTCCTACAGTCCATGTCCTCCCGTAGCCAATCGTCTCATCTACTGACAATTCGTTTCTGATACAAATTTTTTCTCCTTGCTAAAATGTTAAACTATCCAAAATCTTTTCTCTTAAAGATAAATGTTTACTTTTATTCATTTTAAAAGTCACAGAGTAAATGTAAATTGTTCTACTTATATTTAAACATGACCAAAGAAATGACCTACTGACCTAGTTTTCAAGTGCTGCAACTGGTCAGATAAAGAAATGAACTCCAGGGCCTTCTGCTCCTTTTGTCTCACTTCTTGCTGATATTTTTGGATTGCCCTCCTCCTTTTGGCATCATTCTCCTGAATAAACTTCTCAAACTTCTCCACCCTGTCCTTCATCTAAAATAGTACAATAAAATTAGGATGAAATAAAGTAGCATAGCTTTTAAAGAGCCTGAACAAAGTATGGAACTTAAAATTGCAGCACAATATTGTTACAGGCTATAAAGTAGCACAAAATTGTTACAGGCTATAAAGTAGCACAACATTATTACAGGCTATAAAGTAGCACAACATTGTTACAGGCTATAAAGTAGCACACATTGTTACAGGCTTTAAAGTAGCACAGCATTATTACAGGCTTTAAAGTAGCACAACATTATTACAGGCTATAAAGTAGCACAACATTATTACAGGCTATAAAGAAGCACAACATTGTTACAGGCTATAAAGTAGCACAACATTGTTACAGGCTATAAAGTAGAACACATTATTACAGGCTATAAAGTAGCACAACATTGTTACAGGCTATAAAGTAGCACAACATTATTACAGGCTATAAAGTAGCACAACATTGTTACAGGCTATAAAGTAGCACAACATTATTACAGGCTATAAAGTTGCACAACATTATTACATGCTATAAAGAAGCACAACATTGTTACAGGCTATAAAATAGCACAACATTATTACAGGCTATAAAGTAGCACAACATTATTACAGGCTATAAAGTAGCACAACATTATTACAGGCTATAAAGTAGCACAACATCATTACAGGCTATAAAGTAGCACAACATTGTTACAGGCTATAAAGTAGCACACATTATTACAGGCTATAAAGTAGCACAACATTATTACAGGCTATAAAGTAGCACACATTATTACAGGGTATAAAGTAGCACAACATTATTACAGGCTATAAAGTAGCACAACATTATTACAGGCTATAAAGTAGCACAACATTGTTACAGGCTATAAAGTAGCACAACATTGTTACAGGCTATAAAGTAGCACACATTGTTACAGGCTATAAAGTAGCACACATTGTTACAGGCTATAAAGTGGCACACATTATTACAGGCTATAAAGTAGCACACATTGTTACAGGCTATAAAGTAGCACACATTATTACAGGCTATAAAGTGGCACACATTGTTACAGGCTATAAAGTAGCACACATTATTACAGGCTATAAAGTAGCACAACATTATAGTAGTCTTCTACTTCTTTTTTTTTCATCTCTACTCCTGGAATGCCTTGTGGCATCAAGGCAGGAAGATTTCTCTGGAAAGGGCCCTTCTGTTCTATTCGTATAAAGTACTTTTCAGTGTCTGATATTTCTGCGGTCTATCTTCTGCGTAGTCAACTTCTGGCTCTGTATAACATTTCTCTCTGTGGTGCCCTGTCTGATGCCAATCTTGTTACATGGCTTCGTTGTCTACCTATAAAGTTCAGAACTGGTTCTGTGCAGACTCTCTTCCTGATGTCATTGTTCCTAAGTTGATCTTTCCTGGTTACACCTAGCATAGTACATAAACATTTTATTTCTGTCGGTACTATTTTCCTTTTGTCTTTTGTCCTTTACTTCCTGATAAGCATGGCCACTTAACCAACTCATGCAAAGTCACCTATCCTTCAATTATCTTGCAGTAATATGTGGGTTTTTTTTTTTTTTTTTGATTTCTTCTCTGTTACTTAACACTATGGAGTGAGAGAGCTTCCCTGGCCTTAAGTGGTATCCCCATTGACTGTGGTTCCATGCCTCCTCAAAGCACACCAGAAGACTTTTATCTGGAAAGACAGAAAGATGCCAGGAATGTTTCATCGAGAGATAAAAAGTTGAGAAAGAAGAAGAATATTGTGTCTTTCTATGGTAACAAATTAGCCCTTAATTCATTATTTGTTAATTTTCTGTTTGTTAATTTGCTGTTTGTTAATTTGCTATGTGTTAATTTTCTATGTGTTAATGTGCTATTTGTTTATTTGTTTTTGATGACTCAATCTTTGAAGAAAAAATAGGGGCTTTTGAACTGAAATGCTTCCGAAAAATTCTTAAAATACGGTAGACCAAAAAGAAGAAAAATATTGACATCCGACATCATCTAAACAAAGAGAAGAATTTGAACAAAAACAGCCTCCTTTCCTGAAAACTGAGGTCAGTCGGCCATGTTGAGCGTCGTCATGGTGACCTGGAAAGAATGCTGATGGAGGGTACAATTTCGGAAAATGAGGCAGAGGCTGACCTCTGCAAAAGTGGATACGAGGCACCGGCTATGAAAGCACATAGGGCTGGAGAGTTGGCCTGACTGACTGATAGTTAATGTTCCACCTCAGTCTGTCAAACTGTAATATCCTACCTGTTGCTGTTTCCTCTGCAACTCAGCCTGTCGGTGAGCACACATCTCCATACGCTGTTTGAACTCATATCGTTTGGCTTCCAGTTCGGCATTTACCTTGTCCACCTCGACTTCCTTCTTCAGAAGAAGTGTTTTCTGTAATGTGTTGACTCCATTTTCAAGCAGTCTGTCTGCCGACTCCTTGATGACAGGGAAATATGTCACATCTTCTTCATCCTCCCTGGTTTAGAAGTAAATTTTAGATGTACAATATTTGTGTCATGAAATTAGGAAACAAAGTAAACAGTAATTTTTTTCTTTATTTTTTTTTTTCACCTTGTGAAACAAAATGAAATGTAACATTCTTTTGTTACAATTTTTATTTTTAATTTTTAGTACAACTTTTGTATCATAAAACTGTGGAAAAAATTAATATGAAACTACCTTATTATTTTTATATTATATAATTACATAAGCCTTTTAATAATAACAATAATAACACAATAGTTCTGTGTAATCTTTAAATTGTCTGTCTTATCTTCAACAGTCCTGAATGTTATTAATTAAGGAGCCAGTGCATTCAAAGTTTGTGTCACTCTCAATATTTTTCATCACTCATTTTATTCTTGGTTCACATGAGGTGTTTTTGCTCTCGCAATTTTTACCCACATACAGAATTGACTGCATGTTACTTCGTAAGTAGCGAGTTTCCCTGTGAAACTGTATTATACTTATACAGTCGAACAAGGTTTCTGGCATTTCTGCTCTGAGTCAGCAAGTTTCAGTCTTGAAGGCCACCGTCCAAGAAGAAAAGGTCAGTAAAAATAAAGGACCTTTTTGTTCACCTTCAGGCATATTAGGTATATAGTGCTAGACCTAGATTTTATAGACCAAAACGCACTTGGTGTGTGGTGTGTGGTGTGTGGTGTGGTTAGCATCACACCAGCTGTCTTTACTTCCCTGGACTACACTTGGGACCTAATCAAGGCTGGGTCATTTTGGAGAAAAGTCCAGACCCTGTCAGGACCTAAACCCATGATCTTTCGGTCCGCAGGCAAGTGTCTAGCCGCTAGACCATGGCGGCTCCAAGAAGAAAAGGGGAAAGGAAATATGGGGGGTATGGTAGTATTTGTTAACATTTGTTGTGCTAGTATGAGGTAGCTTTAAAAAGGTCCCGGAATGTGTGTACTGTGTAGAAATCAGTAACAATGCAATTATCAACCTACATTTTCTTCCGAATGGTTTTCTTCTGCAACCTCACAATTTTTTATGAACTTTTACACAGTTTTTGGAAACCGGACACTAACTGTTTGATCTACATTTAATTTTTAAGGCATATCCTTTTGACTGCATACTGTTTAAAGTTGTTTTTGATTCTAGAAGTATTTATCGTGATTTCATTTCTTCAAAAAAGTTAACAAGGAAATGTACATTGAAATCTTTGGTAATTTTAGAAACTCCCTGAAAACAGAAAAATAACAGTTAGTTTCTGCTCCATGGCAATGAGCCATCAAGCCGACCCATACTGACGAAGCAGTACCTCGCATCATACCGTATGACAGCCATAGAACATCCTCCATCTTCTCCAGACCTGGCGCTGGATGATTTTTCTAGTTCCCTGGCCTACAATCGGCACTTACCGGGCAGTGATTCACGATGTTCAGAACGTTATTTCCAATGTGACAACGCAGCAGAAGGAGGCAGCGAAAACAACGGCATATAACCGCTGGCGGCAAAAGTTAGTAGTTTCCGAAGGAAGCTATTCTGAAAGTAATTTGATTAAAATAATCGCATTGTTTCTCATTTGTACATAATATACAAACTACGGAAACGTTTTGAAGCTACCTCGTAGATTTCACCCCTCGGTAGAGCTCGTTTTTACTTGAGTACTTAACACATCACATCAGTAAGCGATCACCCCTTAATTTACAAGTTCAAACGCAACAAAATGACACCAGGCATTATTTACAACGAATCTCACCGATCGTGCAGTTGCGTGACGAAAACTCTTCGTTTTTGCTCCTCTAGCTCCAGCTTGTACACGGCAGGGTTTGCCATTCTTCATCAATAATGTACCAGCAGACCGGTACTAGCTAGGCGACTTAGGCGGCCATGTGTAAACAACTTTATGTAAATTAGAACTCCTAGGAGATACCGGGCCTGGTGAAGACTTTTTAAAACCTACATGGCAGAAGAGCTCCCAAATATATATTCTATGAATTGGGTTATCTTCACAGCACTCCGGCCACATCCACAGATGCGCACATTCCCCCCCCCCCCCCCCCCCATCAGCTTCTAGAGGTAATTAATGCTAGTCATATGTTGGTTGAAAGAAGCGTCCTGTACGTCTGGTGTGCCTCTCATGTCTGGTTTTACCCATCAAACAGTCTTCAATTAGCACTAGAGTGACTGACTGACTTTCTACCCCACCAGGACATCACACAAGCGATAAACACCCGATGACACAAAGTGCCACCATGCGGATGAGGATCACCGTGGAGAGGTCCCAGAAACCGCGTTCAGACAATTGGCCATATTTATGGCCTGCCTATATTGCGGCCCCTGGCAAAAGCCAGAGTGGGGCTTCAAATAACAAAAAATTACGCCCTAAAAAGGACGTAAAGAATGAGTGTTATATAAGCACTAGAGTGCACTAGAGGGAACTCTTATACTCGTGCACACAAGCCCCCACCCCCCTTTTTTTTTTTCAGCAACCCTCACCAAGAACTTAAGTACCGGTCCAAGCCACTCGTTTTTGTGCAATTAGCACTTATTATCCCACATATTTAGCACAAAGAAACCAGGCCACAAGTAAAGCCGAAACTGCTCAGACTAGGTTGAACCTGTTCGATTTTTTTGGTTTGACTTCTAAAAATGGGTGGATTGATGGAATACTCCTAATTCTTCTATCTACAGTTGTTTCTTGATGTGTTGATATCTTATCACTGTGTTAATGCTCTGTGGACAATAACACACGGGTCGCCTTTTTTCCCCCAATGATATTAAATAACACTTATTTCAGGTTTATTCTGCCTGGGTTCCAAGATCGGTATTGGAAATCGAACTTTTGGTAGCTGGGCAAACAGGCAACCGGTGTCGTGAGTGTAAAGATTTTTGCTATGTTGTTTTGTTATGTTATGTTATGTTATGTTATCACCGAGAACTCTGTTTTGCCGGGATAGGGGGATGTCGCCTTCTAACTGACGTCATGTATGAAATATAAACATTGTGGCTGACATCAAGGCTACAAATCCTGAAGACGCAATCAACTCCTAGCACGAAATAAACAGACCATTATATCTGGATTTTCTACTGGACTCTGCAGCCATATTAAAAAGAATTTCAAGAGATTGGAAGTTCATAACTTTGCCCAAATGGGCAGACACTACTGAACATGTGCTACAAATATGAACTCTACATGCAGTAGACAGATCCCAGGTTTGCCTGGTTAGCATTCCAATAGAAACCAGGTTGTGTGTGTGTGTGTGTGTGTGTGTGTGTGTGTGTGTGTGTGTGTGTGTGTGTGTGTTTGTGTGATATTGTAGTCTGTGACATTAAATCTCGGTGTAGTCTTACATTAGCAAAAGACCATTTATGAAAATATCTTATCCTAACAGCCAATTAAAACGAAAAATGGCATTTTAAAAAGTCGATTGGCTCCAGTTCTCCAGACACATGGCAGGCACAAGTTTATTCAAACACGATCAAGTTATATAGGTGCCGCAGCCGTTGTGGACGACTGCATAATTTGCTTTCATAGTGACTAGTAAACAAAATATGTATCTAGAAGTTGATGATGCAATCCTACATATGAGTACACCACCTTTGTGAATAATTATCTTGTCTCTAATATAGGCTGTAATTGTAAAGGTCTCACGGAGCATGTTGAAAAAGGTGGAGACAGGTATTCTCCGTGCAGAATGGAAAGCATAACTTCAGAGGTCCCGGGTAGTTAGCTTCCTTAGAATATTCTCTCCAGGTTCTGCCAGTGTGTTGGGAAATGAGCAGGCAGTAGACTGGTCAGTTCTGCACCACTTGGTGGTGAACTGATGAATGACAAGCTGGATGTTGTGAGGGTCCTCTGGGGGCGAGTGAAAAGTGCAAAAGCACAAATAGATCATTACGGTCTGAGAAGAATGGCGCTGTGAGGAGTTGCTAGGGAATCTGTTGGATGCTCAACACTCAAGGAAAAGGCGAGACGGATATACAATCAGACCGGTACTGGTGCCATCAGAATTGGAACTCTTTGTTTGCTGCTGAAGATGGCGACAGAGCGCTTATGGGAGTGTCTCGACTGGTGTGATTCTTCTTCTTCTTCACTTCCTATTTTACCGCTGTGGGTGTCGAGGGAGATATAAGGTTCTGTTTCTGGCTCTTCTGGCCGCCTCGACCATAGGCACATCGTGCTGTTGAAGAGCTTCTCTGATGTTATCCTTCCATGTTGTTCTTGGTCTACCTCTTGCTCTACGACCTTCTTCTCTTTCCATGTATGCTTTGTATGGTATAGTGTCACAAGGCATTCTTTCTAAGTGGGCAAACCATTTCACTTGCTGTCTTTGTATGTAATTTAGAATTGGTTCTGTGCCGACTTTTTCTCTAATAATCTCATTTGTGATCTTATCTCTTATGGTCACTCCTACAGACCTTCTCAGACATCTCATTTCCATGGTTACTAATTTTCTTTTATTGTTAGTCTCGTAGTCCCTTAACATAGCGATGGTCAGATACCGTTTGATCAGTCCGTTTATATCTCATTTTGATTTCTGTAGCGGTAATAAATCCATTGCCGGCTTGCTAGGCCTGTCGCAACTTCACCAGAGCCCCGTTGGCCAGGACGTTTCGGGGTGACCCAGGGTGGCCTTCATGGCTACCGTAGCGGTCCCGTGGCACGAGGCCACACCATACTTCGCCCACACCTAGCAATCCCCTACTTTGTTCTGTTTCCACCTCTCACGACGAGGACGTGAGGTTGGACTTTAAGAGGCTGTGATATCGATTCCTAATTCAACATTTAACATTCAGTCTGTAATATAACGTTACCATTAGTTTGTCATATCAAAACTATCGTAGTTAAAAATGTCGAGGACTTATGAAAAGCATTAATAATTTTATTACATATGTGGTGAGCTGACATTTCTTTCACAAAAACAAGATACTGAAGTGATTAAGAAGGTGTACAGTTTGTATTTCGGCTGCAAAATAGGAGACTGAGATCAGATCTGGTGGTCACACATTGGCTACAATACATGTGACCTTTACATGTGCAGCACATCTCAAACTGGTTGACTTGCAAAAGGCAAGATACGTCTTGTGCAGTCCCTATGATTTGGACAGAGTCCACTCATTCTCTCAACAACTGTTACTTTTCCATGGTCCCTCCAATTAGGAAAGGTATATCAACGCACGCTGTAGCATCCGTGGAGGACATGCATCACACCGCAGATTTCAGAGAAGCCTGCCACCTTCTCATCTGAAAACCACTGGCAGGGAAAAGGAAATGAAGAAGACATCTAAATTAGCTATTTTGTACACCACACACATACACATACATATACACACACGCACACACGCGCGCACGCGCATATACACGCGCACGCGCACACACACACACACACACACACACACACACACACATACATACACACACACCAGGCCAACTCGAACTCATAAACGACCAGAACTGCAGTTATCTTTATTTAATGTGACTATACACATTTTTTTTTTACCAATGCAGGCGATACACATGAAAAGATCTGAAGTGAAAGCAAGAGGCCGCCCTAGGAGAATATGGATTGATGTCATTAAAGAGCTCTTACATCGACACGGAATGGCCGTAGCTATCGCTGCCCATCAAGCAATGGATCGCAAACTGTTCATCCCCACAAATCTGAACGGCAGAAGTGGAAACTGATGATGATGATGATGATGATGATGATGATGATGATGATGATGATGATGATGATGATGATGATGATGATGATGATACAAATTATTGCCACAAAGACAAGGGCATAATGCATTCATATATGTAAGCCAAAGACGAAAAAGAAATACAAGGCTTCAAAAACAAGCTGAAATAGTCATGCTAGCATCAATCACTAACATCGTTATTGAGCACCTGGCAAGCAATGCGTCATCGCGTGCGGCAAGAAACCTGGCCAGAGCAGTAAACATTAACGCTGTTAGGACTGGGCTGGCGGGCAATGACGAATCTCTGACACTAACACGATTGCGTGACCTTAGGTGTAAAGCATCGGGAGGCTCGTCTATGCCACTTTCGCGGGCGAGGTAGGAGACACCATTACCAACCCTTTATTGGAGTAATCAATACAGGTACCATGGAGTGGCTGCTGCATCGTAAGACTTAGCCCTCATGGTGAAAACAAGCTGCATAGATTGTGATAACATTTGAATTATTGGAATTTTACCCCCCCCCCCCCCCCCCCCCCCCCCCCCCCCGAAAAAAAGAAGTGTGGAGGAAACCAAAATAGCATCCCATCTCCCCCTCACCTCTCTCTCACACACACGTACACGCGCACACACACACATCATACTAATGTATACCCACATGCACACACATGTTCACATATACGCAGACACATCCCGTACACAAATTGTACACAAACAAATGTCATTATAAACTACTTTCGAAATTAAACCGAATTACTGAAGCAAATTGGTGGTGTTTTCTTTTTTAGTTCTTTTACAATATTTCGTTACTTACAGGAATATTTAAACAACTTCGGGAGGACGTTGTAATAGTGCGTGCAGCAAATACAATAGAGACTGTCCAGCACTGTCCAGTGTTAGTCCTTGCATTGTTTGACTGTTAGTCTTCTACTTCTTCTTCTTTGCGTTCACCGGCTGTCAACTCTAGCGGAAAGTTCTGGTTGTTTGTTCACCTCTGGTCAACCTCTAGTTCCAGAACCTAAGTGTGCACATCCGTTTAACACGTCTGATTTAATTGTATGCAGATTATTGGTTCCTTGCCTCTCAGGCTGATGCCCTCCAACTTAGAAGGAAGATCTCAATTAGTCGACTTTTACGGCATGCTAGTTTAGGGTGGCAGTGGGTCAATTCTTGTCCCCCCCCCCGCCCCCACAATGGAGCCCCTGGAACCCACACGGTGATGGCTGTTAGTTATTTCACAAGACAACTTTACGTTTAGTAGTTTGCCATTGCTCACTGCAAGGTCGGCTTTCCAAACCACGGTCGAAACCAACGCAATGCGACCTGGCTGCCAAACTGTCTGTAGCTGGATTCGAACCGAGTATTTAGTTCGCCGTAATAATAAGTGTCGTGTTCTGTCTCCCTCACAACCCCAGCTGGGTGCTACCTGGTCGCTTAAAAACCGCTGATAATTTGAGAACTGTATCCTTGCATCCAAACTTGACTGATATTGAACCCCAGTTTGACCGCACCACGACCTAAGAACACCCTTTGACACAAATTGCCATCATTCGGATAACCATCCTCCGGGCAGCACAAGTCCCAGAAATCCCGTTCAATCGTTAGGTTATATTAAGGCCCCGTCAACAGTCCGGATTGTGCTTTAAAATACCCACTGCCCTCCACCCTTCCCCCCTCCCCAAAACGGCATCTCATATTGGGATGGAGTTGTCAATCCAAACTGTACGGGTCGCTGAGTAAATTACAAAAGACAGTGTCGTTCATACTAGAGACAACAGTTTAGATATAGATAATCTATTTCAATCTATTAGTTTTATAGACGAAGGATGAGAATACCCTGGCCAGATAAAAAGAGTAATGAAGATGTGTTGAAAATAACTGAGTACAAAGAGAACTGATTGCCCTCACCAGGAAGAGACAGCTTACATTCTTTGGTCATGTGTGTGTATGTGTGTGTGTCTCTCTCTCTCTCTTTCTCTCTCTCTCTCTCTCTCTCTCTCTCTCTCTCTCTCTCTCTCTCTCTCTCTCTCTCTCTCTTGTTTTACCCCACCAGGACATCACACAAGCGATAAACACCTGATGACACAAAGTACCACGATATGGACGAGGATCACCATGGAGAGGTCCCAGAAACCGCGTTCAACCATTAGACCTATTTATGGCCGGGCTATATTGCGGCCCCTGGCAAGAGCCAGAGTAGGGCTTCAACTAACGAAAAATTGCATCCCTCAAAGGGATGATATGGTGATGTAGTATAAGGTCATGTGATGAGAAGGAGAAAACTTGAGTACATCGTGACAGTAGGAAAGTTGGAGGGGACGAGAGCAGAGAGATCGAGAAAAAATATGGTGCACAGTTTGACTGACTGACTTTCTACCCCACCAGGACATCACACAAGCGATAAACACCCGATGACACAAAGTACCACCATGTGGATGAGGATCGCCGTGTAAAGGTCCCAGAAACCACGTTCAGACAATTGGCCATATTTATGACCTGCCTGTATTGCGGCCCCTGGCAAAAGCTAGGGTGGGGCTTCAAATAACAAAAAATGTCGTCCTAAAAGGACGAAACACCTGTGGTTGTAAGTGTCACAATTTGACGTCATTTCATGAAAGAACATTTGTGTCAGAATTGATTGAAAGAACACGAGAAGAAAAAGATTTAAAGCAAAGGAAAGAAGAAGAAGAAAATAAAGAAGAAGAAGTATACTTGCATAGACATCGAGACATGGAAGCTCACGTTAATAATCCCCCCCCCCCAACCACACACACACACACACGCACGCGCACACGCACACACACACGCACGCACGCACGCGCGCGCACACACACACGCGCGCGCACACACGCACGCACGCACGCGCGCGCACACACACACACACACACCTATTTGATGAGAGAGGTTCAGGCCTCATAATTCATAATTTCCGTTGGCCCCTCTGCATCATTTTAAAAGTTATTCAAGGGACACAATCATTCATTAAGATGTTCTGGAAGATATCAAGAGTTGTGTTTCCTGAGTTTACGTCGCAGTCGCCTACAGGTGATGCAGCAGTAGCGACGTATAGAGCGTCGTTTACAGCCACTTGGGTTTAGTCGAACGAGGCCGTCACAGTACCTGGCGTTCCTGTCTTGGGTACATCGATCTGGGGGAGACGTCATACAGAAAATCATATTAAATCTACACAGAAACATGGAGAAAACCAGGTTGTTGAGAGTAGAAAATATATTCGTGGTGTTTGTAGTCTTACCCCACTTTGTATGTAAGTAAAAGTAAGTAAAGGACCCTTTTCCATGCCATTAGGCGTATAGGGCATATAGGGCTAGACCTAAATTTTTATAGACCAACCGGCACAAGATGGGTGATGTGGTGAGTATCACGCCGGCTGCCTTTACTTTCCGGTACTGCACCCGGTACCCACTCAAGGCTGGGTCGACCTGGCAGCCAAGTAAATTTTTCAAAAAAGTCCGGCTCACTTTATTTGTAGAACCCCCCCCCCCCCCCCCCCAAAAAAAAAACGCAGTACATGACGTCATTAAAAATATGCTTAAAAAGTCATTAGTTTAGTTACAATAGCTACTTATATTGTATAAGGCTGTTTAGGGGACGTTAGAAAGTACCAGTTAAGTATTCGTTATAGGAGGTGTTGGAAGTGTGTTCCATTTCTCTTACTATCTCTATCTGTCCTACATCGGACAAGGTTTTGACGTCCTGAGTGCCAGTTCTAGCGATTTTCCTAGGTGAAAGGAGGCGCGTCGACGATCATCCGGACTCTTTTCTGCTTTCTCTACATCGTGTCACCATTCTTCTACTAGATGAACACCCATCTCCTCCATCTTAATTGACTGTGTTTTACTTATTTCTCTGTTCGACTATTTCATTGTTGGTTGGTTTTTGTGGCTATTGCTTTTAAAGGGGAGTTAGAAGCCAACCTCAAACCCAACCCTACCCTTAGTCGCTTCTTACGACATGCCTGGTAGGGTGTAGCTGATCCTTGTACATTGGACCATCGGAGTAGATAAACATCAATCCATAGTTTTCATGAGAGATGGCCGCTTATTTCGAAAATTAAGAAAGCCATATTGTTAGATTCTCATATTTATAACATACGTCTTCTCTACATAGCATTTAAAAAATGTCGGCTCCGTGGCAAACCTTTAGAAATAAGTGGGGCCTTCCCCGTGTGGGTTTCGGGGTCCCCTTGTGGTAAAAAGCTGTATAGACCCACTGTTTCCCCAATATGCATGTCGCAAGAGTAGACTAACTAGTGGCTTCATTCAGAGTTGGAGAGCATCAGAAATGAAATATAGCGTGTTGGTTAGATCCTTTAAAAAAAACAAATATGATAAAAATATGAGAAATGCAAATAGTGATAAAGTCTGTGAAACATGGAACCACTTATAAATGGAAGCTTGCCTGTTCCAGAACTAAGATATGCAGCATTTATTAGACCGATGTATCAAACTGTGGGTGCTACTGTCTAGCTCGGGGCGGCAGAGCGGTAGATGGGGGCGGCAATTTCATCAGTCAGTTTTAGGGCTGCCAGCAATCAGAATTGTAATTTCCACTGGTAAGACACCGACATGTTTGTTTCCGGAAGCCATTTTGTGCATTAGTATGGTTTTGTTTGATTTATATATGTGCTCACGAAGGCTCTCTAGCGGCAACGTTTACGTTTTTTTTTTTTTTTATATTGTGAAGCTCGCTGATCTACTTTTCGTTCGGTCTTATATCTTTCCATGAATTGCAATCCTGAGTCACGACGGGGGTAGTAGTGGTTGGAAGGGGTTGTGTGTGGGGGGAGGGGGTGGAGGAGGAGAGGGAATAGTAGCCTCCTAAACCTGTTTTTCCCAAAGTGGGCTCTACAGTCCCTCGTGGAAGCGCTGGAGCGGTTGCGGACGCAGTAGCGTCATCGGTGAGATTTGAGGTGTGGTACAAAGGTCCAAGGGGCGGCAAAAGCCTACAGTTAGGGACAATGACTAAACATTCGGCAGCGGTGGAGACAAAGGGGAAGAAGATAACTGGAGAATACAATTTTCTTATACTATTCTCAGCCAAGTCGGGTAATCAGATCTAGTTTATTATAAATGTTACCTACTTTTTCTCTTCCTGGATCGTCTGGTGGCTCGAACAGTCAGACTCAGTATCACCGGGTCTTGTCTCTCGAAGTCTGATCCCTGGACAGACTGGCGGACATGTTGTGGGATGGTAGAAACGACTTTAATGTGGCTGGACAGCGGCCTGTGGGCATTGTTTTGACTGTTGTCAAGGATACACTCGCCAAGATGGCACACCTGCGATCAGACAGAATTTAGCACAAGAAACTACACAAGATAGAGATAAACTACGACTTCTAAACTGACAACAAGCTAAATGTCATTTATTCACTTGTAATTTCTTTTTTTTTAAGAGCACAGATAACAAAACGCTGCTCTTCTATGATGTATGTCAAAAGTTGAGTAGCCATCTTTAAACTGTCATTATGACGTCGCCGTCTTCGTTTGCATCGTGATGTCGCATGTTCAACACCTGTGATCTCCTTAATAAAAATAACAGGTTACAAGACAGTGACATGATTACTGTAATTTCTATCCCACTTTTATTGGTTTATTTGAAGCCCCTCGTAGTTTGCGAGATGGCGAACTCTCTGCGAGTCAGAGGTTAGTGAATTCGTTTGACAGTTGTGAGATCCTCACGTAGTAGGATTAGTTTCCCGCGGTAAATGGCGAGAAAACGGGCTTGTGAAAGAATCTGATATCTCGTCAAGTTCATCTGGGTAAAGATTGGACATCAAAACATTCAGGACGTCCCAAGCTAGCTCTCTCTCTCTCTCTCTCTCTCTCTCTCTCTCTCTCTCTCTCTCTCTCTCTCTCTCTCTCTCTCTCTCTCTCTCTCTCTCTCTCTCTCTCTCTCTTTCTTCAAAAGCCAGCAAAGAATCTCTACACTGATGCTACCCTTGTCATCTGGTTAGCTACTCGTCTTGTCTTGTCCCCGAGTCATAAGTAGCGGCCAAAGTCTGCAGACAATGCCCTTCTCCATCACTGACTACATTACATCATCAGAAAGTAACAAATACAGCACTGTATGCACCCCAACCAACCTTCACAGTGGAGACGGTACATCATATTTTATATTAGGAACTAAGAATAGGTACCTAAATTATAATTGCTTCTAGCATTGAATAAGGCCTCTGGGATTTGCCCTCTTAGTTGGCCATCCTGCACACGTCGCTTGAAGTCGCAGGGGTGTTCAAACCGTCCCACAGTAGGCTGCAAAGGGGAAAACAAAAGGACCCCCCAAAAATTATATTTAACATTAGTCTTTCCCCCCCCCCCCCCCCCCCCCCCCCCCCCCAACTGCCTGTTTCAGAAAAAATACCTGCAGACTTGCATATCAAAGCAATGTTTCCCCGTTGTGAATTTGAACGAGAAGACACAAACGCTAGATTGCACAATTTATTGCCTGGCATATGTTGCTTTACCTCGTCAAGTGCATAAAAGCTAACAATTGAATAAAATGAAGCAAATAAATGAATCCTTCTACATGACACACAAAATCGAAAATTTTTAAATGTTACTGCCTATTTCATCAAGGAAAACGCAAGTTCACGACCATGTCCTTTTGTGTGCATAATTCTGTAATGGACCAGTTTATTGTCTTGGCTTTCGTATAGCGGACGCTATATGGAAACCGTAATAAACAGCCGGTTCAGTAGATAGCATTCGGAAATCATACTTGACCTCCGTCATCTGGATCTGCACATGCAGGTATGTCGGAGTAAATGAACCAGTAGATCAGCTGGTAAATGTTGCACTGTTGCATGCGAGAAGAAGTATAGGCGAAACAGATATTATCAATCCTATACGGACTAGTCTGGGGTATAGTAACGAAACGCTGACGCTAATACTATTGCATGAGCTCAGAATGAAGCATGGTGAAACACGTCGGTGCCGTCTTCGAGATGAAGATAGAAGACATCGTCAATCAATTAATCAGGTGCCGTTTCCACAATGAAGGGTGGCTGCCAGTGGATCTCCAATGCGCTGTGTCTCTTGTCTTTGTTGTACACTCTCTCAGACTGCTGTCCGTCCATCTCATAATGTTGTCCTCGCACTTGTATCGTTGCCTACATCTTGCTCTCTTGCCTTTGACCTTTCCCTCCAGTATGGTTTTTGAAAGTGTTTAACCCATCTCTAATTAGAGAAATAAGTAGAGATATCTTGGGATGGCTGTTGCATCGGAGGACTGAGCAACGTATGGGGATGCCCAGTGCGCCAACTGCGAAAATACAACATTCATCTACATCTGCATTTGCAGTGGGAGACAGAGCATCTACGGGTATTGCCGGGGTGCTGTGATGTGGATTCTTTAATCAGTAATACAGAGACACCACTGACCATATCATGTCCACAGGGTGTCCCAGGTAGAGCAGTCATGTAGGTGTTTGTCCTGCAGCCTGACGGTTTGTCTGGATCCGAACACCACAGCTGTCCGCACATGATGCTAACCACTTTGTCATCCTTGAACAATTAAAAAAAAAAACATGCTTCATCAGAACTCGCCTAATAAAATATTACTTGGTTTGCATTGTAAGTCAAAAATCTTTGTCTACGGACCAGATAGATACATAATTGCTCCGCCCCCCCCCCCCCATCTTCCCCCTTTATTTTTACATGATTGCAGTCTGAAGGGTTACCAGCTAGCGGATGAGATCCCTACATTACAGTTCCAGCAAAACCTGTTCAACCTAACAACCCTGTTCAACCAAACAACTCTGTTCAACAAAACAACCCTGTTCAACCAAACAACTCTGTTCAACCAAACAACTCTGTTCAACCGAACAACCCTGTTCAACCGAAGAACAGTTCTATTTTTAGGCTCCCGATGGTCACATATTAACAAGAAATCCGGACCAGCTGAAGAAAGCATCTAAAACTGACAAGGCTTCCAGATCTAAAATAGTTGCCAGCCCCTGCAAGCATTAGAATTGTGTGAGTGTGCGCGCGCGCGTGTGTGTGTAAAACAAAAAAAAGGGGGGGGGGGGTGAGTGTTGAACTTTCTAAGCATGGTTTAAACAGGTCTTCAATTTGCAAGGAGCGCAATGCGAAGGTAGGGGTTCAATTCCAGCAGGCGATTTGGCAGCAGACATCCTTGCGTTGGTTTCGACTGTGGTATCAAGCGCCGATCTTTCTAAAAGAAATGGCAAACTACAGAAAGTTAACATTGCCTAGTAAACCCATAAACCGCCACAAAAATGCTGGGTAGCGTTCGGCAGCTTCCTGTAAAGGATACATATCTAACTATAAGCTACAATAAATATAAGTTGAGTATTTGGGAGACTAAATCTAGGGGTTGGAGACATTGAAATATGATGACTATGGTTACACAGGTGGCGATAGTGAAGAAACTGAAGAGAGAATTAACGAGAAAGAAGAAGTACGAGGGCGTAGAAGAGAACGAAGTGAGGAAGAAGGGAAGAAAGCAAAGTAGTAGAATTAGGAGGGAAATAAAAAGGAGGAGAAACAGAAAAAAAGTGTCAGAAGGAGAAACAAGAGGAAGACGAAGACGTCGAAAAGGAATCAATAGAATGTAGAAGAAGAAGAAGAAGAAGAAGAAGAAGAAGAAGAAGAAGAAGAAGAAGAAGAAGAAGAAGAAGAAGAAGAAGAAGAAGAAGAAGAAGAAGAAGAAGAAGAAGAAGAAGAAGAAGAAGAAGAAGAAGAAGAAGAAGAAGAAGAAGAAGAAGAAGAAGAAGAAGAAGAAGAAGAAGAAGAAGAAGAAGAAGAAGAAGAAGAAGAAGAAGAAGAAGAAAAAGAAGAAGAAAAAGAAGAAGAAGAAGAAGAAGAAGAAGAAGAAGAAGAAGAAGAAGAAGAAGAAGAAGAAGAAGAAGAAGAAGAAGAAGAAAAAGAAGAAGAAAAGAAGAAGAAGAAGAAGAAGAAGAAGAAGAAGAAGAAGAAGAAGAAGAAGAAGAAGAAGAAGAAGAAGAAGAAGAAGAAGAAGAAGAAGAAGAAGAAGAAGAAGAAGATGATAATGATGATGATGATTAGTGTGATGATGACGACGACAATGAGTAGGAGGAAGAAGTCTATGATTGCAATGATGAAGGTGATGACATCGACAACACAGAATAAGAACGATTGAAAGATCAGAAGTCTCTGCCAGCGTACCTTACACAAGACAGACCTGCCACCAAATGCCAGCTTGCACTGTACATCAGCGTTGTAGAGTTTTCCCGGTGGGCTCCTGGACACGTCGTGGAACTGATAGACTGGAGGTTCGTCCCTGACACACGAGGAGCTGGTCGAGCTAGTTAGTGCACAGAGAATCAAGGTTATTAGGTGTTAGGTCAACGATTAATACACTAGTATAATCACTTAATTTACAAGGTAAAACATCTTTATTTTTCATACGCTCGCCAATTTTTTTTTTTTTAAATTATTAAATGACATTTTTAACACCAGTAGAGATCAGCTAAACCTGGTGTGGTTACTATTTGTGTCTAAATTGCTTCTTATTTTATTTCGTTGTTTGATTCTGTATAGCTTTGTTTCTCTTTTTTTATGTTCTGTTTCCGTTTTCTCTTATTCTACTGTCTTTTCTTTCTTTCTTTCCTTCTTTCTTTCTTTCCTTCTTTCTTTCTTTCTTTCTTTCTTTCTTTCTTTCTTTCTTTCTTTCTTTCTTTCTTTCTTTCTTTCTTTCTTTCTTTCTTTCTTTCTTTCTTTCTTTCTTTCTTTCTGTCTTTCTTTCTTTCTTTCTTTTATTTTTTCTTTCTTTCGTTAATTCTTTCTTTCTTCCCTTCCCCTTTTCTTTCATTCTTTTAATCTCTAAAATGTTTCTTGCTTCCTTACTTACCTTTTCTCTCCTTATTTCGTACCTCTTTCCTATATTCCTCTGTACTTTTTTACCCTTCGCTTTTCCTTTCTTTGTTTATTATATCCTACTCTAGTTTTGTAAAAAGTATATAAGTCAGCTGAATCAGTAACGCATCCTGCGTTGTTCGGTACTAAACGAGTCAACCCAGAATAAAGACAGCACGTCGATGATACTGTAGGTCCGAGCAACAACAGCCCTAAGTCGTCCATCACCGGCTACTTTTCCCGCACTCAACATTGACCTTTGGGAGTTGAAATTCGAACCCGCACACGAGGAGGGGTGAGAGTGGTCGGGTAGTAAGTAAAACACTCAACACTATCTCTCACGCGCGACTTCAGGGCAGACCACACGCAGAACAACCCACTTAATGAGGATAACGATACGTTTTCCTCTCAGTGTCAGACAAAGCTCTAGGGCTCTAGGCAGTGCTGCCAATGCTGGGTTTTCCCCCCATATCTGGGTTTTTATTTAGCGTCTTTGGGAAATTTGGGGTGCTTTATATATATATATATATCCTTATATAATAGTGCTAAATGTTTCGTTTCGT